TAATAAAAATAATAAAAAGGGGCTCTTACCTTATTGGAGAACTTATCAGATTTTGTTGTAGGTTGTTGTGACGACTGAGGGATATCGATAGTTGTATTTAGTATTTCAACCTCATTATTAGTATTTGATATTATTGGGAAGGAAAAGTTGTCGACATTTTTATCGGTACAACTATGTAAATTTCGAATATAGGAATGTATATCAAAAATTATAGTTTAAATAAAGGTAAAGATCTGTTATAAAAATTTTAAGATAATACATACAGGTTTAGAATATCATAATCATCAAGCATATTTTCTATACCATTCAGAGAGTGAAGAGAATTCGTAGATGACGATGAAGAAATATTATCAGAATGATCAGTATTATCAGAAATATTTGAGGAGTCACAAGAAGAATTACTGGATGTAGAGTTGGACCGAGAGCAGGGAAGTTGTTTTTTACCAGGTTTAGAAAGGTCTAATTTTGAATCATGAAAATGGCGCGTTGACTTGTTATTTAAATGATTCTTTTCATTAGATAGATTATTATTGGTTTTTGAGGCAGCATCCACGGATTTTTTTGATGTCGCAAATACAATAGGCATAGTAATTTTCTTTTTAGAAGAAGTGTGCGATAATAGGTCGTTACTTGCCACTTTAGTTTCCGGGAGAGTGGATGCAGACTGTTGGGATTTGGTAGTTAATAAAGCGGAAGAAGTGACAGGCATTTATCGTACTTTGAACACCTTTGGGTAGCACCTGCTATCAATCCAATTTTTTTAAAAAAAAAAAAATTTTTTTTTTTTTTTTCAGAAGAAAATTTATCTTATAAATGCTCTAGAGAAAAAGTATATAAAAGTCTAATGATAGAATAAGACGCGGTTATCAGTTAATTATTTATTGTCAATGAAAAAACTAAGTTACAATAATTATAAATGAAAAATCGGCGTAATTGTTTGTAAACCAACAGGAAATTTTTTTTCAGATGAAGAATTATAATTTTTAAATGAAATAAATGGTTTTTTTTTTTTAAAAAAAAAAAAAAAGAAAGAGAAAAAAGTAAAAAAAAAATTTTTTTTTTTATTGCTAGACTTCAAAGTTAAAAAAAGCGGCTAGATATACTGGTATTATATATTAATATATATTCTATACTTTTTAGAAAAAACTAAATGCACCAAGACCCAGTTGGCAACAATAAAAGTTTAAAATTAGATATATATGTTGTCGACATATATATATATATATAAAAAATGGACGAAGAGCAAAAAGCAAGAATTACGGAAAACGCAACAAAAAAAATGTAATTTTATATTTATGCTACTACATATCCCGATGAAAAAAACATCACCCGAAATGCAGCATATATAAATAAAATTATCATAAAATATATAAAATATAATAATATAATATACACTATAATAATATAATATACACTATATAATAATAGATACAACATAACAGGATAATATAAATATACAGTTTAAAAATGAAAGTACCCTTGCTGTCTAATGTTTAATAATGATAATGCAATAAATGAATCAATCGTATCAAAAAGTTCAATCAACACTACAGTAACTATAACTGATAAGTAACTATAGTTGAGTACATGTCAAAACTATGCAGTGAAACAATAAAACTTGGTTAGTAAATTCAGCATAGCATTATATGTTATAAAATTAGTGCATAAAATCATAAATGCGCGTATGAAATTAATCATTAGCAATGAATTATTGCATAAAGTAAAAACGCACAAAAAGTTTTGCTTGGTCTGTTATAACAATGACTATGCCCGGAAAATTTGAGAAATGTAAAATATTGGCAATCATCAAATCAAAAAGGAGCATTAAACATGTGTTTCATGGCACATGTTCCTTCATTATTTAAACCTTCTAAACCAATCTAATAAATCTATGTGAATATGTAATTAAACCATCTACCAGGTTTTTGTCCTTCTTTCTTTCCTTTTGTACTAAAATTATCGAAAAAAAAGTTCTCTTGATATCAAAGAATTCAAATTCAAATTTACTAAGCATACATATTTGAGTCGTTAACTTGTAAAGTTTTATTTACATGTACTGTATGAAGACAATTGTTCACCAAGAAAGTAATGATTATTGAGGACTCAACGTATATAACGGATAAAGATGAATTAAGACAATGGATGTACACTCCTTTTTTCCGAAAACTTTTCCGAATAATCGGGCTCAAAGATCAAATTATCGATGAATAAAAAGGGTTCAATAATATAATTATGATAAATAAACCCTTTTTTTAATTTGAAGAATCAAATATATACTTATGAATAAACTGAATAGTTCTGTTAAACCTGTTAAACCTGTTCTTTAGCGAAAACATGGAAAATCATTTCTTATTTTATTTAAATATTTATAACCAGAAAGCAAATTTTAAATAAACTGCGCATCTTTATTTAGATTACTAAAAAGATTACCATAAAAAGATTTTGGTTCACTCAAGTGTGAGAAGATGGGTCTGGAGGGTTTGTGGGTAAGACAATATGTCGTTCAAACCTTTTAATTTCAAACTTTTTCAATAATTAATGTACCAATAAATACATTAAAAGGAACGAACGTATGCGCGCGAAATGCTTGGTTCTCACGAAAACTGACACAACATAGGGTTAAAAGAAAGGAGTGTTGTATAATAGGATAATGAAATAATGTGTTAATATTGCGTAAGATTTAATTAAAAAGATAATCTTACTGTAACTGGCCGTGACGATTATGAGTATCGGTCTACATTTTTAGAGATTCTATTATTTGTTTCAATTATAGAATTTTAATGTTTATTTTATATATATATATATATATATCGATATATATTAAATTATATAATGAAAAAAAAAAAACGCCCAGAAAGATTGTCATACATGTCCAAATTTACATAGTAATTTTCAATGAACTTTTTGTCAATCAGATATCAATAGTTTATCTTTTACCATCATGGTTATTATCCCCGACATAATTATATAACATTTAATTAACGTTTGCTCCACTAAAACTAAATTCTAATTAGATGCGTTTATCGTTATTCATTCTCTCCGGAATTCGGAATTTCCTGAAATTACTAAACTTTAGGTCGGAACCTGTTACCTTCGAGTTTTATAATATCTTATCGTTATATCTGATATACAGTAAATAATCATAAACAATAATGC